ATTCGCGGTCGACGCTACAGGAAAAATAATGGAAAATTTAATTTATCAAAATCAATGACATTTGGCAGGTGGAATGTGCGCACACTTCTTGACCGCGAAGCAAATGCCTGCCCTGAGCGAAAAACTGCCATTGTACTATAATATTGATGTGGCTGCACTCAGCGAAACATACCTCCCCGAGGAAGGAGAGTTGGTAGAATATGGCGGCGGGTATACTTTCTTTTGGAAAGGACTCGCTTCCTCGGAGCCGCGAAGGTCTGGTGTAGGCTTTGCTGTCAAGAACTACCTTGCTGCTCAACTGCAAGAGTACCCTGTACACATCTCGGACCGCATTACCACATTGCGCCTTCACATGGAACGTGAAAGCTATCTTAATATCATCAGTGTCTATGCCCCTACGCTGGACAAGTCTGATGATATTAAGGATAAATTCTACGAAGAATTGACGCGGTGCGTAAATCGTATTCGTCCAAGAGAGCAAATCCTTCTCATGGGCGACTTTAACGCCCGAGTAGGACGAGACTATGACGCCTGGCCTAAAGTTCTCGGCAGACATGGTGTTGGTAAAATGAACAGCAGCGGCCAATTGTTGCTTAGTCTTTGTGCACAATTGGATCTTGCAATTACAAATACTATGTTCAGACTGCCTGCCAAGTACAAGGCAACGTGGATGCACCCCAGATCGAAACATTGGCACCTTATCGATTACGCCATCGTGCGTCAAAAAGACATACCTCAAGTCCAAGTCACCCGTGTCATGCGTGGTGCTCATTGTTGGACTGATCACCGGCTTGTTATTATTAAATTAAATCTTCGTCTTCCACCTCCTTGTAGAGTGGGAAGATCTAAACAGATACGTCTGAACCTCGAACGACTCCAAGATACCAACACGAAGGCTAAATATGCCGAAACCTTGAACACTGCTCTGCAGCCCCTCGATCTAAAATTAGGTGAGATCGATGTTGTCTGGGAGTCTCTATCTTCTTGTGTTCTCGACACTGCTAAATCTACTTTGGGTTTGAGAGTTCGAAAACATGAGGACTGGTTTGATGAGAATGATGGGATACTTACAGGCGCTATTGATAAACACCGTAGGCTCCTAAAGCAGCACAGTAGAACTCATCAGAGTGGAGGTGCGATGGAGTTGCGTCAAAGTGATCTGGAGCTGCGTAAACTCGCACGACAAGCGAAAGAAAAGTGGTGGCAGGAGAAGGCTCGTCAGATGCAGTGGCTCGCTGATACCAACCAGCTCGGTGAGTTTTATGCTGAGGTGCGACATCTACTCGGTACGTCCTCTATGGCAAAAGTTCCACTGAAGTCAACTAGTGGTGGAGCGCTTTTTAAAAGCAGGGAGGAAATACTCGGGCGATGGGCGGAGCATTTTAACACCCTACTTAACGTGGATCATTTTGTTGACCTAGACCACGTTCGCTGCCTACCTCAACAACCTTTCGCCCTCGAGCTAGATGAGCCAATCTCGCCTGGCGAGGTTGCTCTTGCCATTAAGCAACAGCAAAATAAACGCGCGGTTGGTGTTGATTTTATACCGGGTGAATTATTGAAGTATGGCGGTGGGGATTTGTATTCAGCGTTATGGGAACTTTTTGTCATTATGTGGGAAAAAGAACAAGTCCCTAATACTTTTAAGGTATCCCTCATACGAGCCCTATATAAAGGCAAGGGTGACCGGTCAAACTGCAATTCTTACCGTGGCATTTCTCTACTTTCAGTGCCTGGAAAAGTCTTCGCCAGACTTCTTTTAAACCGCCTCAGGAAACTTTCTGAAAGGATTTTGCCGGAATCCCAGTTCGGCTTCCGACCTGACCGTGGTACCTGTGAGGCGATTTTCTCATTACGTCAACTACAGGAAAAAAGCAGAGAACAGGGTCGTAATATGTATCTCTGTTTTGTAGACCTTGAGAAGGCATTCGATAGTGTACCACGTGAAGCCCTCTGGATAGTGCTGCGGAAAATTGGATGCACGGAGAAGTTTGTGAGACTTCTGAGACTCCTGCATGATGGCATGCAGAGCTGCGTCGCTGTAAATGCTGATCAGTCAGAATTTTTTCCCGTTACCTGTGGAGTAAAACAAGGGTGTGTCCTTGCACCCACACTTTTCGCGTTATACTTTGCAGTTGTAGTCCAGGAAGTCTTAAAAACTACCCATGATGGAATTCGCATTCGTTTCCGCAACGATGGCAATCTTTTCAGCTTAGCTAGACTTAAGGCCCGTACGAAAGTGTCTTACGCACTTATTACAGAGATCGTCTACGCAGACGATTTATGTTTTGTGGCCGATTCCCCAGCTGGCCTGCAACAGCTTGTGACCACCTTTCATGAGTCGTGCCGTATTTTTGGTCTGAAGATAAGTGTTAAAAAGACGGAAGTGATGTCTTTAGATATCTACGGTCAAGAGACACTGGCCGTCAAACTCGGTGATGATATACTTAAGCAGATCAATACATTTCGTTATTTGGGGAGCACGATAACATCAAAGTGTGACCTTGATGCTGAAATCAACAGTCGAATCGGTGCCGCGGCTGCGGTATTCGGTAAACTGGATCGCAAGGTCTTTGGCTCACATGACCTAAAGCTGGCTACCAAAATTGGTATTTATAAGGCGGTAGTGCTGCCTAACATACTGTACTCTTCTGAGTCATGGACAGTTTACCGCCGTCATATACGGACGCTGGATCGCTTCCACTTGCAATGTCTGCGCAAAATTCTCAACATCCGTTGGTCTGATCGCATTCGGAATACGGAAGTGCTACGTAGAGCCTATACTATGGGGATTGAAGCCTACCTTATGGGGCGACAACTCCGTTGGTGTGGACACTTATCGCGAATGTCAGATCAGCGTACGGCTAAGTGCATCTTTTTCTCTGAACTTGAGAAGGGCAAGCGTAAGCATGGCGGACAACTTCTCAGGTACAAAGATGTACTTAAGCGCCACATGACGAAGTGCGACATTGAGCCTTCAGAGTGGGAGCAAGCAGCCGCTCGACGACCGGAGTGGAGATCCTTGGTGAAAGCCAAGGTCAAAATGTTTGAGGAGAATCGATGCTCTGAATTGGACGCCCGACGTGATGAACTCAAAGCACGCCCACCTTGTGCGATTAACTATAATTTCTGTAATGGTGTGCTCACCTGCCCGCATTGCACGCGAACATTTGTAAATAAGATCGGCTACGTTAGCCATGCACGAGCACACCAACGACAAGATCGGAGCTGAAGAGGTCGCCGTGGCCGAAATCGGTCGAGGAGATTATTATTACAGGGTGAGGTCCCTGAACCCCTAACCCCCCAAAGGCTTGGGACTGGGCTCCCCCCCAGCCATTCATCCCCTTGGCACCTAAGACCTTAGGATTAGGGTTATTTTTGAAGAGGTTTTCTTCCTCGCGGCCTTGCAGGGCCCCCGGGCCCTAGTGGGCTTACGGGTTGTCCGGCATAGGTGCACTTGGCACATCGCCGCACAGAGGTTGCCCGGAATCGGTGCGCTTGGCACATAACCGCGCGGGATCACCCAGCACTGGTGCGCTTGGCACATCGCCGCGTGTGTTGCATCCCGTGTTCGCTCTAATCAAAGAGCGATACCGGGAGCAACAACAAGCCTGTGAAGGCCCGTCTCTTCGGGTGTTAAGCCCCGGCCGTTTCTGGTCCTATTGGAACCACGGGTACGCCCATACCCGGCCAGTTTTGGTCCGCGGCGGTTTCCCACTACCACCCATATCTGAGTGGCGTTCCCCTATCCGCCACCTGGGGACGCGCCCGATGGGAGCTCTGGCAACTCCACACGGGTGGACTACTCGACCTAGGCGCCATTCGTTAAGTGGTAGATTAGGTTCAATCATTGAAACGATTTTACCAATATTAGGATGTTTGTGATCATCCTTAAACCACTTAACCTTTTGTTGGAGCGTATGTAAATAATAATTTTGCCAAATACGCCAAAAACTTTGAGAGAGCTTTTGAAGTAACTGCCAGCGTGTTCTAGGATTCATATCTTCAACAGACGGTTCTAGTAGAGCGACTAAAGGACGTCCTATAATAAAATGACCGGCCGTGAGAACATCAACTTCGTCAGGATCAGACGATAACTGACAAATCGGTTTGAGTTCAGCATCGCTTCAACTTTAGTTAAAACTGTAGTTAGTTCTTCAAACGTCAGGACTTGTGAGCCTATGACCCTCTTGAGATAATATTTAGTAGATTTTATACCACTTCCAAAAATGCTTTCAAAGTAAGGTGCTGAAGGTGAAATTAGTTTGCTCGAGATTCCACAAGACGTTAATAAATTAAAAAAGAAATATCCTGTTTTTTATCTATCAATAATTTAACCATTTCCGCATGCTCGTTTGCCCCCTCTCCTATAAAAAAAAAAAAAAAAAGATATCGTTTAGCGCCAACAAAGTTAGTACCATAATCTGTCACAATATGTTGACATATTCCACGTCGAGACTCGAATATGTCGAGAGCGGCTAGAAACGCTTCTGTAGACAGTTCAGATACGAGTTCTAAATGAACTGCTTTTACAGATAAACAAATGAACAAGCATATGTAAGTCTTACTGACCCATGCGTTACGTCGTCTGTTTTCTCTTATAAGAAAAGGACCGCCAAAGTCGATCCCTACCTGTTGAAAACAGTAACCTTGTTGAGATCTACAAGGTGGCAGGTTGCCCATAGATGGCTGATAGAGTACAGGTTTAACCCGACAGCAAGTCACACACTTTGTTAAAATAGAACGAATAAGATTCCTAATTCCTAAAATCCAGAACTTGCGAACAATTGGTGATTGTAACGTGCGAGGTCCATAGTGCTAAAATACCGTTTATGATAATAGCTAATAATTAATTGAGATAAAATAGATTGTTTCGGTCACAAATATGGATGTTATGTGTGCTGAGGTAAATTGAAATTAGTAAGTCTTCCACCCACTCGCATGAGTCCTAGGTTACAAAAAAACGGAGACAACTTTTGTAAGTATTTAGGTAGAGGCTTCTAGGATTTTAATTGAGACATCTCTTGATTGAAGCTGCCCCATTGGACATATTTAATAAGGCTAAGCAGAGAGCACTTTACCTCATTCGTAGTCAAGTGACCTTTCTCGCGTTGGCTTGGTTCTTTGCGCGAATCAGAAATGAAGCAAAAGACCCATGCCAATTCTCGCTGTAGTCGCGATAAGGGTGAATACCGATTTAATAACACCTTCATAATGTCTTTATCAGATTCCCGAGATTGAGCAATCAGAGTGCGTGTTTTCAACTCTGGCAACTCATCCTGGGGCTTACACCGACTTTGAGCTGGCCAGTGATCTGGACTACTAAGCATCCAATCTGGTCCTGACCACCATCGCTTACAATTGACCAATTCTGCACACGAGATACCTCGGCTAGGAAATTCAGCAGGATTGTCCTGAGTCGAGACATGCCTCCAGGTAGAAGGTTCAAATGCGTCCGTTATTTTAACTACTCGATGCGCAACAAAAGGTTTCAATTTGTATGGCTCGGTATTGATCCAAGCTAATACAGTTGATCTATCAGTGTAGGCAACAATATGAGATATATTTATTTTCGAAATAAGAAAAGTTTGCATGTGTTTGAGAGTACGTGATAACAAGAGCGCACCGCACAACTCCAAACGGTTAACTGTTAGAGGCTTAATATAAACCACTTTAGATTTAGAAATCAAAAGAGAAACTTGTTTTTGATCATCGATACTTGATCGGAGATAGACACAGCACCCATATGCTTTTGTTGATCCATCGCAAAACCCAATCAGCTGGTGTGTAGCTGCTAAGTCAATCACGGTTTTACGAGGGATTTTTATCGATTTTATACTAGATAAGTCAGACACAAATGAAACCCAATCGTCACACAGATTGGCGGGAATGATTTCATCCCAAGGCACTCCAACACGCCATAAGTTTTGAAGAAGTAGTTTGGCTAAAAGAATAAAAGGTGAAAGCCAACCCAACGGATCATAAATACGAGCTACGTGGGACAGGATTGAACGTTTCGTAAACTCTACATTCACAGGAGAGACGGAGTAAGTGAAATAGTCTTCCGCAGAACCCCATTGAACTCCGAAAACCTTAAGCGTTATTGAAATATCATCAGAAAATGTCTTCGGACACTGACAATGTTCCATGGGTAACAATCGAAGAAATAAAGGGCTGTTACTACTCCACTTACGCAAATATAGCTGAGCACAATTAAGGAGATTGATTAAATCTTCTTTAAGCTGAGAGGCTACTTCGACTGACGAAGCACCTGTAGTAATATCGTCCATATAAATATGATGCCCAAGAGCTTCAGTAGCATGAGGAAACTGATCACCGTGATCTGCAGCTAACTGATGTAATTTTTGTATCGCTAAGTACGGCGAGCTTTTGACTCCGTATGTGACCGTACGAAGTTCAAATTCTTGAACAGGTAAGGAAGGGGATTCACGCCATAGTACGTTTTGCCACACTCGATCCTCAGGCCTTATCAAGATTTGCCTGTACATCTTAGATATGTCACATGTAAACACTATATTATGGACCTGAAATCCAGTAATAATGTCAACCAAATCAGCCTGTAACTTCGGTCCAGTGTAAACAATATCATTTAAAGATAGTCCATTAGCCGTCTTGTGACTCGCATTGAATATAACGCGAAGTTTGGTCGTTATGCTTTCTGGGCGAATCACACAATGGTAGGGAATGAAATATCTACCAGGTGTAATACTCGTATCCTTTCCCACTGGTTGCATATGATTAAGCTGCTCATAATCACGCATAAAATCGTTATAGAGTGATTTAAGTTCTGTTTGTCGGCAAAGCTTTTTCTCAAGATTTATAAACTGCGACAAAGAACTATTATAGGAGCCTCCCATATAGACACACAACTGCTTCAATAAGATAGGGACTACACATCGACCGTCCGATTCCCTATAAGTTTAAGTGGAATACAGGCGTTCGACCTCCTCATCTTCTGGAGCAGGTATATGTTGATGAGGCGGTTCCTCGACTTCCCAAAATCGTTTCATAATCTTCTCCAATGAATTAGTTGAAGTAATTAATGAAGTGTCAACCGATTTTACCGGACTCTCCACATTGGTGGGTCCTGAGAGAACCCAACCAAAGACGCTATGTAAAGCAGCAGGATAGCCGGGCTCTGGGTGAATGACACGGCCGTCATAGATGTGATGAAATACTTCAGCACCTAGCAATAAATCAACATCAGACGGTTTGTCAAAGTCACGGTCCGCTAATACTAAGTGTTTATAACAGTCTCGAACCGCTAGAGGAATATTAGTGATTAACACTCCCTTGACTTGACAGACAGACTGTTGTCCAAGTCCAACCACAGTTGCGGTGCATCGACGCAATTGAAAACCAAGTCTCTTTGCGTATTTCATAGTGATGAAGCAGTCCTGAGCGCCGCTATCGATGAGCGCTCTAACTTGATGGAACTTGTCACTAGAGTCCTGCACATGCACCATACACGTCCCGAGCAGCACCACGTACGGGCCACGAGCCTCTCCTACGAACGCACTCGTGTTAGTGTGGGCGCTATTCGAACCGGTGGTCACCGCGGTCGGTGATCGAACTTGGTTATCGATGTGTATCAGAGTGTGATGATTACCACTACATATAAAACATCTCATTTTTGAGACGCATTTATCAAGAGAATGTTTTCGTAAACAGTTAATGCATAAATTATTTTGTTTTGCAATATTTATTCTAATTCTAGCACTGGTGTCCAAAGATTGAAACGTGGGGCACTTATAGATACTGTGCGCTGCACCACAATAATAGCACTCTAGTGAAGCCAGCTGCTTCGAACTAGTAGGCTTAGACTGAGTAGTGAGCACGGAACGTTTCAGGTTCGGTGCCCGCGGTGAAACATTCTTGATCTGTTTACCGCCTAAAACTTGAGAAGATCGCGCCCTAATGTCAACATTAGCATTTATTTCTAAAACTTTTACATAGTTTTGAAGAAACTGCATAAGGCTTTGAAAAGAAGGAATTTCCGATTTATTTTCAGATTCGAAGCGGTGGCGCGTATTTGAGTCCAGTGCGCGAAACGCTGCGTTAAATAAAATAAAATCGCCTAAGTCATCTAGCTCTAAGGCCTTAAGGGCATTGCCTGACTCACAAAGAATGTTAGTATATGTTTGTAAATCATTGAAATTAGGAGTTTTTAAATAAGGATAGTTATTTATTTGATCTAAATACGCCACGGCTAAAATGCGCTTATTTTGATAACGCTTAATAAGTTCATTGAATACAAGCTCATAATTTTCGGAAGTTAATTTTACCTTCTTTGCGATACCTAAGGCGGATCCCGATAAACAAGAAATGAGATAGTGAAATTTAGTAATATTCGCGATTGATTTATTATTATGAATTAAGGTTACGAAAGTGTCGTAAAATGTTTGCCAATTCTCAATTTTTCCGTCGAACTTCAGAAGCTCAATTTGTGGCAGTCTAGCTTGTATCTGTTCCGCGTCTGGCGTAAAGGTGTAGTTAACGTCAGCGGACGTTGGGCTGCTGCCTCGTTTGCGCTCCGGTAGGGACATCTCCGCGGCAAAATTTAGGACTTCATAGTACATATCATCAAATGCAGACAAATGCAAACTTCGTCTGCAAATGTTCCCGACTTTGTGGAGTCTTCACATTGTTTCTTTTCTTTTCTCACGTTACTTCGCACATTGTTAATTTTTTTTAATTCCATCGTCCTTTGTGGCATTGGGCTCCAATTTCTTTAATTTTACTGTCAGTTTTTATAGGCTGCCGCTCTTTTACTTTTATCGTAATACTCTTTAGTGTATGTATACCAACACAAATAAATGCCCAAAACATAAATAGTTTTAACTAAGCTTATGATCATATTATAAATTATTTTAGTGTTCAACGCAACTCCATAACTAATGTAGCTGTATAAGTATATATTCACGCGGACAGCATTTAGCTATGATTTTGTACGTGACCCGTTATCTAGTTGGTATTGTTGATCGAAGAATTTCTACATTATTTGTATCAGTAACTAAAATATTGTTATAATAGTACTGAAAATTTAACTTTCAAAACGTTAGAAAAACAGAGACATATTTTTATACATTATAAAAGTGTATTACATTAAAGATAAAAAAATTTTTTTTTTTTTTTTTTTATAGGAGAGGGGGCAAACGAGCATGCGGCTCACCTGATGGTAAGTGACTACCGCCGCCCATGAACAACCGCAACACCAGGGGAATTGCAGATGCGTTGCCGGCCTTTTAAAAAGGAGTAGGCTCTTTTCTTGAAGGTCCCTAAGTCGTATCGGTCCGGAAAAATCCCTGGTGGTAAACTATTCCACAAGGAAGTTGTGCGAGGAAGAAAACATCTTCTAAATCGCACAGTGGTGGACCGCCAATCATCCAGATGGTGTGGATGGTATCGGGAGTTCTGCCGCGATGTGCGTTCGTGAAATTTGGCGGCTGGGATTAATCCGAACAATTCCTCAGAGCACTCCCCATGGTAGATGCGAAAGAAAAAATCTTGAGATTATCCTATTTAAGCCATTATGAACCCAACTAAGTATCTATTTATCAACCAAAATAAATGTATAACCTTAATTAACCAATCGCATAGCCTTGCGGTCACACTAGTTCAATATTCACAGCATCACGCTACTTTCCCCAATAGGGGAGCGGAGCTTCGTATTATAATTCCAAGTCACAATGATAAACCCTTAGCGTAGTTAGGTATATATATATTTAGTAATGCTCCTAAAGCGCCACTAGACGCCCGCGCATGAGACGCGATAGTATAAATTCTATAGTATTTGATACTCACAATGTTCGATGCCCGATTCATACTTGATGGTCAAAGACATTGTTCCGTTCATCGCCTACAGCGTCAGTCGTAGAGAAAAGGAACTCGTGGTTAAGTTATAACTGCGCGGATCAATAGATCTGCGAGATTAAGTTACACTTGCGGCGGTCAGTCCATGAATGAGTGACCATTTTCTTAACATACCGAGATTGATAGAATAGAGAAAGCATCTGTATCCTTAGACACTTGGTGCACTTTACTCTCTTAACATCATTATGTTTTTAAAATTCATGCAACTTAAATGATAATAGGTTTATTATTACTTTATAATTTTCAGCGACAGATGAAATAGTATAAACATGAAGCATAATAATAAACATATTGGCCTTTAAATAGAGCAATCTTTTTTAACTGATTCCTACAAGTTTCCTCACTTAAATTATTAATATAATATTATTTATATTCATATTTAAGTCGATGTTAAAATAAACTTCAATAGTGTATGTAATTATTAATTATTAAATGTTTGCAATTATGAAATGTAATACTTATATAAAAAATAAAGCTGTCATTATGTACCCCGTGTCCCCATTTTTTATTTACCCATCAAAACATTTTATAAAATATATAAAATATAAATAGGTATATACTTAGCTAAGTATCTACCTATTTATATTAACAACTAGCTGTTCCCAACGACTTCGCCCGCGTGTGTTATTTTTCGCGGAACCCTAAAAAACGCAGCCCAAGTTACTTTAAATTTTTCTCTCCGTAAGAACCATATTTATACTTCAAGGAATATTGTAAAAAAAGAATTAGCGAAATCAGTTCAGCTGCTCTCGAGATTTGCGCTTAGCAACACATTCAGCGATTCATTTTTATATTATAGATATATAAAAAAAAGAAATTCCGGGGAAACTTCCCCGGAATTTCTTTTTTAGACAACTGTCAACTATGTAAATATTTTTAACAAAGATCATAGCTCGAAAATACAACTTTCAGATCTGAGTCATGGGGCGTTTTTTTAAGATTATCGGTACAGTCACCTGGGATTTTATATATTTTAATTAAAATCCCACAAAAGGCAGGTATGTTTAGCTTGTCCCCAGGAACATGTTACAGTAATATTTTTTAATTACTGTATTAAATATTCATTATTGTAGTACTTTTAATAACGATGGGCCGCAGTAACCACTTATCATCAGGTGCACTGTGTGCTCGTTTGTCACCCTTATCCTATAAAAAAAAATTATCATGGTAAAAATTCAGTTGATTTTTGAAGTTATTCAATGGCGTGCACTAAACAATTTTTTTTAATCTTTGTACCGTTACCTTAACAATCACT